TATATATCTATATATATATATCTATATATATATATATATATATATATATATATACATAAATTAATTCATGCTGTGAATTGGCATCGAAGTTACTTGCCAAAACTTGAGCAAGTTTCAAGTTAACGTAATAGCTTTAGTGAGGTTCTTGATGGACATTGACAATTCAGACATTCTGACATGAATATTGAAGCATTTTCATCAGGGCTGACTTTCCCCTGCAGACTACCGCTTCGATGGAGTAGAATACCACAAAAATCAGACAGGCTAAGTAGATCCGCTTAACAGAGTTTAAATGTTTGAGCCAAAATAGACTCAGATGATCCAGAGGCCATAGCTGATTCTAACACAGATGCAGATGAGGACAGAGATGAAGACGAGAATAAAAATCAACACAACAGTGTATGCACACTCTGCTGGTTTTGACTCAGTTACCACTGTGACGGATCATTGTACTAAAAATTATTCATCAGTACATATGGATAAAACATTTTTTTATCAACCAAATATTTTTGTATCTGATAAAAAAAAGAAAAGAAAAAAGAGAGACACAGATTTATCTCAAATGATAATGTAAAAGAAATATGAAGTATGATAAAAATCATATATATATTTTTTATTATTGTTTTAATAAGACCTGGCCTCCCTGATAATCAGTGCCTGTTTTGACTAAGATTACAGCAGTAATCTTCTTCTTCTTTTAGAACCATAATAATGCAAGTTTCGACTGGTATTTTGAATACTCATTCAGCAAGGTTTTAAAAGTAAGAATGTCTCCTTCCCATCTCTAATATTTATCTTCCTCTACAGATAAAAAAAAACAAAAAACAAACAGTAAACCTCTGACACCCATTGTCCTTGCTTGGCTTATCCCAGCCCATCATGCACATAAGAAACTCCCCACATGAATATCTAAAGCATTTTTATCCATACCTGGACCAAGCCAAGAAGAATATAAGTAAGTCATATGAACAACAAAAGTGGGGGGAAAGAAAAAAATAAATAGTTGTTTTTTAAGTATATAATAGCTGTACTCAGCAAAAATCTGCTTGTGAAGACTCGCCTCTTAAAATGTGTATGTAAGCAAGTTGGCCTAAACTGTGGTTTAGTCAAACTTGTGTCTTAACAGTAACGCTACAAAAACAATCTAAAAATAAGTACAAATCTCCTAAATTAAGTGTATTTACTCTTAATTTGAGTAGGTAAATAAGATGATGGAATTAGTATTTTTACTCTAAGATAAATAGATAATATGCAGTTGAAATTAGAAAATGCAATAGTTTTTTTTCTTTTTTTAAATGTAAATTGTCTTGTTCCATTGGGAAAGTGTCTCACTTACCTCCTCAACTCAAGAAAAAAGCACTTTTTAAAGAAAAAAATGACTTACTTAGATTTCATCATTTGCAGTGAAATGGGTTTATAATGGGTAACAGATGTTGAAAGAATAGGTATATAATGTTTGTAAATGTTGGGTTTAAACTGCATACTGACATGAGGTGAGTGTAATAAATTTTGCATCAAAACCTGTACAGTACTTTAGAGGCAAGAGGTTTTCCTCCCAGTGCAGTAAAATTAAACAGGCGGAGTTTGACAGAATTTAGTTTCAACTAAATCTTCCTTGGTTTGAATGTTTGATAAGAATGTATTGTATCTACAAAGGTATACTCTTCTCTTCTACACCCAGACTTGCAAATGGACTGACTAAAGCAAGCCTCATTATTCAGGAGCTGTACTGTAAATGTTCAATAAGTCAGCCAGGTTTCCTGGGGCCCTGGGAATGAGGGGCAAGGGGACAGGAACAAGAGGAGGAATAAGGGAGGGTGTTTTAATATTGGGATGGTGGGCTGCAATGCTTAGAGGCCCAAATGATAAATAGATGCCTGAAAGTGTTCTTTGTGCTTGTCTTGTTTAATTAAAACCTAGTTAAAATGAGAAGGGCTTGCTGAGGTGGATAAACATTGATTTGCTAACATCAAACCCTCTGATGAATGTACAGCTACAAAGGCAAGGCACACAAATGGCAAGACGCATAACACAGCTAAGAAAGGGCTTACAGATCTCAGAGATGTGCAGGTACAAACAAATGCATTTATGTGTGCATCCAGCTCATTCACAATAAAGAGAAAACAATTCTCAAACAACATCAACCCTTTTCTGTTTCTCCAGGTGTTCCATTGTTCTATTCACATCTATTTGTTCGCTGATTTCAATACCACCCAAAGTGTGTTTGTGAGAGTTTGAGATGCTAAGCTCCAGCAGACTGCCTCATTTTCTTATGTTTTCACTGAACTCATCCATTACAGCTGTCTGGTATAGGATGTATGCCTCCTCCCACTCCTATAACTCTGCCATCCATTACTCTGTGCTGGCAATGGACAGAGGCTGCCTCCCACAACAGTGGAACTAACATCACGTTACAACCACAGCAGCTACACACATTTGTACTTTGCAGCTCTGTGACTATTTATGTCATAAACTGGGCTTTGTGAGCTTTCAAGGGATTACCGATGCAAGGCTGTGCACTGATCTATGAGGCATAAACTGTTTCACTGTCATCATGTGCTGCAACAGTTTTAGGGAAGGTACTTACAAACAGAAATGCCAATGTTTCTCTTCAACACTTAGCATTATGTGCCGATGCAGTGCTGATACAACTCCAAATTTGCATTTCTCTTCAAAGCAAATAGGCAATAAAAAATTTATGTTGTAGGTTATGATCTTTTACGCAATTCAAGTTTTTTTTTTTTGAGTCTTTTAAATGTATTTAAATGGTTCAATTTGTTAGTTTTATAAAGACACTGTTCTAAACGGCAGAATCTGGGTTCCTTCACATGTTTACATCAATTTTTTGCTAATTTCAGGAATCCAGTATCATACTATCCTGCTTTAAACAAGAAAAAACAAAAAAAAACAAAAAACAAATGAAAGGCTGGCTGGCTGGCTGGCTGGCTGGCTGGATTACATTACATCTCACAATATATGTTATGAAAAGGAGTTACAATTTTTCATTAAGTACATAAAAATAGTCTTAACTATTAATTAAAAAAATTCTCTTAGTCTACATATTTTCTTGTGGCAATCTGCATCATAGCAACTCTACAGAGACTTTGCATGAATAAAACACTAAATGACAAAGAAGGTTGAATCTTCTTTAGTTATACTAAGGGATGGAAAACTGCATTTTAAATGTTTTGTCTCCTTAATTCTGACTCTTGAGTAGTTATTCATAGCTCAAACCTAGCACTGTTTTAGCCATTCGGCCCCTTTGAGAGTGACCTCCAGCTGGACAGTATGATGCCACTT